GTGTGTGTGTGTGTGTGCGTGTGTGTGAGCTTTGGTGTAGAGTGATACAATGCTGGTTGAACACCTTCCTCTGTCAAAGTTAGTGCTAACAATTTGACTCATGATTTGGAAACTCATTCAATTCAAATTATCAGCAGATCAAAGGCAGTGGAAATTACTAATAGAGTCTGACAGATTCTCAAGACAGGGGTCTAGTATTACACCTTACTGTCACAACCTTGAACAAAGATAAAACCCAGAATATTATGTTGGGGAAAACAAAAACCATTACTCCACCCCGTGCTCAAACACACAATTGTTAGAGCGGTGGAGAGACTTCTGTGAAGAGATCTACAACACCCTCCAGGTTATTGGTCCCCTGGGTTGCACCGTGCACAGTAAATTCACCTGGTCGGGGCTTTCTGTTTATAGCACATCTCCCCGTATCAGTCGCACACAACCCCACTTTCTCAGAGCACTAGGAGCATTATGTGCCCCTCCCAAATGCCAAGCTCACTGAGAAATTATTTAAACAAGTTATTTATTGTGAGTTCAGTCAGAGTTTAGTAAAGGGCTTTCAAAGTCCAAGAAACAGCCCAGACATTGGCTGTTTTGCATTGTCACTGGATCACATTTTTGGGGAAGCATCTTGGGCAATATTCTCCCATGGAGCAACACAAGAGAAAAATAAGCCAGGTGTAACTCGGAGCTGGCATCTGGGAGCCCCAGCATCACCTACAGCACAGACCTCCATGGGGCTGGGTCAGTTATCGCACCCTAGCAGGGCTTCAGCTTGTAAAGCAGTGGGTGCTCCGGGAGAGGATGAGGCCCATCCTACTGACACCAGGAGGAGACTATTTTGAGAGAAAGAGAAGGGGCTCTGGGCCCCAATGCCAAGCACTGCCCATGCCAGCTCAGCCCATCAGCTTCCGGCGGGCTCACTGCCTGAACTTGTTCCTGCTGCAGTTGCTTCTGCTTTCCAAAGACCTTGAAAGTGCCAAGACGAGTTTCTTCCCTCTTCCAGTTGAGCCACATCCCATCATAAACAGAGTGACTTTGCTAACAGAGTAGAAGCCACATGCTTTTCACCCAAATTCTTCCCAGTTTGTGTTTGAGCCCAAACAATCAGAGCTCTATGTGGTACTGCTGTGCACAAGACAGGTGAGAGCAAAGAAGATCACCTTTATTCTTTACATATATGTGTACCACAGATGTCACCACAGGGAAATATCCCAAAAGGAATATTCAAATAAGTAAATTTGGTGAAACATTCCTCATAGAGAACAGTAGTTGTTTAGGAAGACAAAGGAAAGAGCAGGTCATGGCGAGGCCAGAGATTCAGGAAGGCGGAAAATATGCCAGGCTTGCTCCTGACTCTATCTGGTGGTGCAGTCTCAGCAGTCTGTCTGTGAAGAACTGATAAATATGAAACTTTGGGCATTTTGCTTGCTTTAACCCTTACGTCCACTGAACATTGCACAAAAGAGTTTTGTTTCTAAATAAAATTTATAGAAAAAGTCTTGGATGGTTTGTGGCAAAAAAAATATATATTATTTTTGATCAACAATAGTGTCATCTTTAAAAAGCAAAAAAAAAAAGGTATGGCTGCCAAATCATTTCCTAAATGATCAGTTCTTACAGAAAGATGGGTTGCTAAGCTAAGAAATCACAGAACTTGGATGTTAATGTAAAAACCTAGGCAATTTTCTGACCAGTTATAATAATTTTGCAAGCAATTAAATTAAAAGAGAAAAATTTACTCAATTAGAACTGACTTTGTCATGGCCTGGGGACATTTAAAAATAACAAAATATGCAAAAATGCACCAATGAGGGGCTGTGGATTTAGCTCAGCAATTCAGTGGCCCGCCTTGGAAGCGCGAGGACCCAAGTTCAATCCCTGGTACCAAAAAAAACCCCAAAAAACAATGCACCAATGAGAGATCATAACCCAGAAAGAACAACCTTCCATTACAAATACGTTTAGTAAATTAAAATTCAAACCATATATCACAGTTTAAAATGAAAAGTATTTCTACATGAGTTTGAACATCTGGATTCTTCTCACCTCAGTGGCCTTCAGTTACACTGTTTGCAAATAACCACTGTAAACAGATTCTACTTTCCTATGTCTTTTCACAGCTATCACTGTAACAAGTGTCATAAAAATAAATTAATACTTTATGCTGATATATTTACATATTCTTGTATATTTATAGCAGATGATTATCTTCTTATAACACAAACCATTTCTTATCCTCCGTGAGAATGGGAGGGATGGAATAATATGCGTGAAATTCCCAGCATTACAAACATTCCTCAGTGCGCTTGAATACACTTATGAAGTACTCTTAGGAGTAGCTCCAGTATTTCTCAAATATGGAATTTGGGACTGGGGATTTAGCTCAGTGTTTCTGCACCTGCCTTGCAAACACAAGGACCGGAGTTGGATCCCCAGTACCAAAAAAAAAAAAAAAAAAAAAAAAAAAAAAAATGGGAATTTCAAGGGAGAG